TTTTTGTTGTTAGTTTACACAGGGGTTTAGACTCCTGTTCAACTAATTTACACAAATTGTTTGGTGAATTTGGCTTTAATTAGTGGTCTGAGAGGTGGAAAACCAGATTTTTGAACATTTTGCTTTTACGTCTAAATGTGCTTGAAATGTTTTACAATAAGAAATGTAAATTCATACCTTTATAATTTTCTGACTTATTTAAATATTCTGTTACTATAGGTGCCATTCTAGACAAATTGGCCTTTTTTCTTTTGAGCTTTTTAGTGTTGATGCATTTAGTTCTAGTTTATTCATTTAAGTGGCTTTAGATTTTTTAAGAAGTCCAATTACAAATGAGCATTGACATTACTCATATTCATTTGGGATCTTTCTTCCCCCTGCTTTTTACATAAGCAAGAGTCCCAGTGGAATTTTAGCTTCTCTAGCTCTTCCAATATAAAATTCACAGTAACTTGCTACTGATATTCTTTCTCTCTTTACTTTTTTCTTCTTTTGGCCGACCTATTACTCTTTTCTAAATTGAATCGTCATGTTGTTTCCAAATTATAACACCTAGATGATGTTGTATATTGCACGCCATGCTTGATGCTTTTTTCTATTTATTATTCATCCTTGTACAATTTCTATAAGGCTTTATGATGGCTCTCATCATATAATGTGGTGATAGAAGCTTCTCAAAGAGTTAAAAAAATGTCCTTGTTCAGTAAACTCGTGCTAGATACTGGTTAAATGCAGGTGTGTCTAAATCCATACCTTATACCAATTGACTGATTCTGTTACAGTTGCTCAAGACCATGACTTTATGCTGGAGGCTCAGACTCTCCTGCCAAGCATCCTGTCAAGATGTTTGTGTTGGAGGAGTAGAGTTTGTGTGCATAGGACCATTAAGCTAAATGAAAAAGGGACCTAGTGAATTTTCAAACCTTGAGAGAAACACTGTCACAAACCTTGGTTTAACAAATGGAGTGAGGGACTGACTGATCAGTCCATTATTATTTGATTTTAGGGATTTCCAGGAAGCTCATTATAAGGGCTAGGAATTTCCTCGAGTTGATCTTGGCACACAACTTTGGGACTCACACAAGGACCAATACTCAATGTGGCCTGGACAAAGTGTTGATGGGTCCCAACTTAAAGGAAAAAAAGGAGATCTAAGCTTCCATAATTAACTTGCAAGATTTATTTTTCTAACATCTGATAATTATGTAGCAGAAATAACTAATCAAAACATGAAAGAATTAAAGGAATGGGCGAAATTGCTAAGCAGCATAGTCTGCCATGAAACGTGAGAAAGGAAGGGGTGGCCAGATCACAGTGGACTACCTGGGAAAGGAAGAACGAAGTGGAACAATAATCTGGAAATAAGAGATTGTTCATAGGGATTAATTATAACTCCTATTCCAATTAAAGGATTCCTGGTGGTACAGAGAGTAAGGCTGTTGGCTGCTAACAGAATGGTCAGTAGTTAGGGACCACTATTCACGTTGCCGGAGAAAAATGTAGCAATCTTCTTCCACAGAAACATGCCCTTGCAAACTCTATGGGTTGCGTTGCTCTGTCCTATAGGATCATCCTAAGTCAGAGTTGACTGTAGAGCAGTGGCCTCTGCTTTGGTTTGATTGCATTTCAAATTGTATTGTTTCCTTTTCTTTGAATTTACATGTAAAAACTGTGAGTAGCAGTAAACAGAAATTCAAGTACATGGTTTGTTTCATACAGTATTGGGGGCGGGAATGAAAGAATTTATAAAATTAAATTTCCATTATTGTCTTAAATTATCATGATAAATTTAAGTACTTATGAACTTAATATGCTAAGCAATTTACATTGGTTAAAAATATTAAGTCCTATAATGGCTGTGTTATATGCCAAATCACACTGTCCTGACAAGCCAGTGTAGAACAACCTCTGAGTTTCAGAGACTTTTAACTCTTTCTGTGGGATGAGAAAGCCCTCTTTCTTCCCAAGGAATGGTTAGGGGTTTTGAACTTCCAACCTTGAGGATTGCAGCCAAATGCTTAAGGATGACACCACTAGGTAGTCCTGTGTAACCAGTAGTTTTGCTTTCTTGTTGTTAACTGCCACTGAGTCATTCCTTCTAATAGGAGCCCTACAAACAACAGAATGAAACACTGACTGGTTCTAACCTGGACAATTATTACTACATTACAGTCCATTGTTGCAAAGCCTGTGAATCCATCTCCATGAGGTTCTCCCTTTTT